GATAGGTTAGGTAAAGAGAGAGAGAGAGAGAGAGAGGGGGGACTTCGACCCGCGTTAACGAATGGAAAACTGTGGAAGGAGTTTCGAACTTCTGTTCGAGGCACGACTGTTTCCGACTTACCTAATACAGGCGCAACCTAGACGAGCTATGCTCTCGGTGGGTTGAACGACGCATTCCGCCATCACTAGTAACAATTGCTTCAACATGAGAGTGGTGGCCGATAGATAGGCGTCGTTTCGAACCACGTCCGCTCCTAAAATATCGATCGAAGAATTTATTTATTCGGATCTCTCCGAACGACGCGCGTGTCTTTTTCCCTTTCTTTCTTTTCCCTTTGCATCACCTTGCAAGTGCGTCAAGTAATCGACGACGAGATCCGTGGTGAGGCCGCAGCACTGTTTAAAATTAGGCGCAAAGTTGTCCCATCCCCTGAATATCTTGGACGTCCTCCTCAACCAATTCTGGACCATGGGCAGAAGGAGATGGTTGACGCAGTACAATCCAAAGGTTGGGCCAGGAACATTGAGGGTGTCCCTCAACAGATGGAACAGGGTCTCCAAGGTGTGAGGTTGGTAACGCTTAGGGCAGATCATGGTGGCGCTCGCCAGACCCTCGATCAGGATGTACCAAACTCTTAGTATACCGCTGGGCTTGTCCATGCTTTGCAGAGTGGTGATCGCGTGCACGTTGTCCATCAAGACGTCGTGCGGCCTTTCGGGTATCGTCTCCTGCATCGTTTCCGCGTGTTTGTCGAATCTGATCAATTCCGAGTTCGGTATGGTCGGATCGACGTATTGCGGTATGGTCGAGACCTGGATCCTCTGAGCCGAGTGGAAGATGGGGCAGGCCGGCATACCGTACATGGAGGCGAGGATGTCGCTACAGCTGAGAAGATACTTGAGACTCTCCACGCACAGTCTCATCCTACGGGATTCGATCGCGTCGATCTGTTCCTGCTCGTCCTGGTGGCCGTCCGCGTCCCCGATCCCGCGCACGTGCTTCAACAGGCACAGGATGCAATCTAGCGCCGCGTTCGCGAACACGAGCGTGTTGTCCGTTGATAGAAACACCCTGAACACCTCGAGGAGGGGGGCGGACTCGACGGAATCTGAATTGCCGACCGAAGCTACGCGTAGCGCGCCGAACAGAGGCCGCCACCCGGATCGTATCTCGGTCCTGTTCGTCTCCACGAACTCGCAGATGCAGCTGACGATCTGGAAGGGATTCGCAACCGCTTTTTGGATCGATTCCAAGTTGGACGAGACCGATTCCGCTCAACTCACTTGATCTTGAACGTCGCTGTCGCAAAGTTCCAGGCACAATAGGTTCTCGAAAGGTTTGAACAGTGCCTCGTTGAAGTGGAAGTGGGGTAATTCCATTTGCTCGTTCAACAAAGCCGCCATCGAGTCGTGGATGCATTGCACCGCCTTCTTCGAGATGCCACGATCCTTGTGGCAAGCTGCCTCCATGAAGTGAGGCCCCAGGATACTCCAAACCTGAAAGATTTCCAAGATTCAATCCTTCCACTTCTCGAGAGAACTCGAAAGGGGGACTCGTCTCTCTCTCTCTCTCTCTTTCTCTTTCTCTCTCTCTCTCACCCTCATTATATGGATCAGAGGCCTTCCACTCTTCACACACTTCAACATCACTTCCCCTAATCGAGCCAGAAGAAGCACGTTCATTTCGTTCTCTCTCGGCTTACTCCTTCTCCACCAGAATCTCTTATTGTCTTTGGATCCGTCCGTGGTCTTGAACAACTGGGCTTTGCTGGCCTTGCACAGAGCGGTGAGGAACGAGCACAACGCTTTAAGGTTTAATTTCAACGCCGCGTTCTCGAACAATCTGTCCACTTGTTGGGATAAAACGCAGATGATCTTCGCCGCGTAGTCGGCGGGAAGAATCCCGTTGAATTGACCGTCCGCGTTCGATTCTTGAATTATTTCTGGAATCGTGTCCGTACTAGAATTGTGGCTATACGGACTGGATAGGAAACTGTACACGTCCACGCTGAAACAATTTTAATTTTAATCTTAATTTCTTTTAACGATAAATCATTATACCTAAGTTTATTAATTTTCATGATATGACGTTTTACCAAGTCTCCTCTTCCTCGATTATGTTGAAGTTAAGCTTCAATCTATCCTGACTCCCTTTCGGATCCCCGCTCGAATTCTCCTTCTTATCCTTCTTCTGCTGAGTCTTGGGCAACGATGGATTTTGATTTCTCCCGAAGAAGTCGTGTTCCAATTTGCTCACGTACAGACAGCACCTTTTTTTAAAAAAAAAAAAAACATAGAATTATTTATCAATTTATTAATTCATCGAGAAGATGATCCCGACGAAAATCGATAAAAATACGTCATACGTGAAAACGTGAGGCCAGCAATCGCTACCGTGACTTCCGAGCTCTAAACCTTTGCCCAAAAGTACGTCCATGCTCAACGCGTGCGACGTGTGAATATTGGTCGCTCTGTTTTGCAATTTCAACCGCAGAACATCCTTCGTTCTCGTGATTTTCGAGATGGATTGCTCCGTGCAGGCCGCTTTCACGAGCAACGCGAATATGGAACCGCATCGATTCTGCAAACCTGAATAAGACCAAGGAAAAAAAAAAAATTAATCAAATTGAAAAGATAGAGATTCTCTCTCATAAATAATAGAAATACCGAGAATATTGCTGAGAATCGCGGCCTTGTGAAGACCTTCCAAGGACAAGATCACGGTATCTCTGACACCCCGTCTACCACCGTCTCTGCTAAGAATCCCCTTGTTATTCTGCTCCTTGGGAGGATTCAATCCCGTCGTCAAAACTGTCATCATACTTCCCCAACAGCAAGTCAACACTCTTCTCGACAACTTGGCCCCCGCTTCCGCCTCCGGCGTTGGCTCGCTTCGAGACAACTGAGCTTTCTCCAGTCTTATGTAGTCGGACAAAAGCTGCCCGCCTCTCTGACTCCCAGGAATCCCATCGACATCTTATGAAGAAACGAAAGATTCTTCTATTATCCGGATTCTTGGACTGTTCATTCGTTGTTGAAGACTTCGCTTACCGGTTAATACGTTTATCAGAGCGCTATTCTCCGTGTAGTGCGGGTTGTAACCGCACTTTTCGAGCAGATTACAGGCCAAAACTTGTTGATACAGCTCGGACAACCAGGTCGCCGAAAGGTATACCAAAACTCCAGATCCGTGTACCTCCTCTACGAATTGCTCCTAAAAGAAGAGAGAGAAAAAGAGAGAGAAAAGTGAAGAGAAAAGTGAATATAAATGGGGAATGGTCGATGGATACCTCGCTGATAGGAACTTGACGATTATCCTCGTGATAATAATTGATCCTGATCAACTTGAGGTTGAGCAGCAGAGCCGCGTAAGTGGCGAGATAAATCCCATCGGCGTTCATTATCGTGATAAGGGCGCACGAGTCGGTGCTTGTGTCCGTCTGTTCCTGCATCTTCTGCTGGGCTGTGAAAACACCTGTGAAAATTCGGGGGCAAGTTTCTTCATCTCCCGGAAGGAAGGAAACGAGGGGAAAAGTTTCAAAATATCTCTGAGGCCAACTCGAGAACAATCTTACCCTGGCAATATTCCGAGGCAAAGTTCTGAAGGGCCTCGTCGACCTCTATGTTGCTTCTGAGCAACAACACCATGGGTATGAGATCGCTCTTCAACGTCCTCACGAATTTTCTCGCGTTGTGCCTTTCCATGTCCACGTTGCACTCGTCGGCCACCTGACGGCCCACGTGAAGACACTTTGGCAGCTTCTCCAACCTCAATCTCTCCCTCTCGTTCTCTATCGCGTAGTCGTTGTCCTCCAAACTGTTCTCCTCTTGAATCTCGTCGGATTCGTTCTGAGGACCCTCGGTATCCGTCGAGTCGCCATCCTCGGACGGGCCGTGACCCGACGAATCCGAGTCAGACCCTATCCCCTTTTTCATCAACTCCAATTGCTCCCTGAAATAAGTATTCTATGAAATAAGTATTCTTTATTCCATTTATTTATTTATTTATTACTATTTTATTACTTATTTATTATTTATTATTATTATTACTATTTATTACTATTATTACTATTTTAGTTTACTCTAGATAGGATTGTAAAATTTCATCAGCTCCAATTGCTCCCTGAATTATCGAGCACTATTCTATTCCATTTATTTATTTATTACTACTTTAGTTTACTCTAGAATTATAACATTGCATCAGCTTCAATTGCTCCCTGAATTATCGAGCACTATTCTATTCTATTTATTTATTTATTACTATTTTAGTTTATTCTAGGTATGATTGTAAAATTTCATCAGCTCCAATTGCTCCCTGAATTATCGAGCACTATTCTATTCCATTTATTTATTTATTACTATTTTAGTTTATTTTATTCTAGATAGGATTGTATAATTTCATCAGCTCCAATTGCTCCCTGAATTATCTAGCACTATTCTATTCCATTTATTTATTTATTACTATTTTAGTTTACTCTAAAATTGTAAAATTTCATCAGCTCCAATTGCTCCCTGAATTATCGAGCACTATTCTATTCCATTTATTTATTTATTATTATTTTAATTTACTCTAGGATTGTAAAATTTCATCAGTTCCAATTGCTCTCTGAATTATCGAGCACTATTCTATTCCATTTATTTATTTATTACTATTTTAGTTTACTCTAGGATTGTAAAATTTCATCAGCTCCAATTGCTCCCTGAATTATCGAGCATTATTTCATTTATTTATTACTATTTTAATTTACTCTAGAATTATAACATTTTATCAGCTCCAATTGCTCCCTGAATTATCGAGCACTATTCTATTCTATTTATTTATTTATTACTATTTTAGTTTATTCTAGGTAGGATTGTACAATTTTATCAATTCCAATTGCTCCCTCAATTATCGAGCACTATTCTATTCCATTTATTTATTTATTACTATTTTAGTTTACTCTAGATAGGATTGTACAATTTCATCAGCTCCAATTGCTCCTTGAATTATCTAGCACTATTCTATTCTATTTATTTATTTATTACTATTTTAGTTTACTAGATAGGATTGTAAAATTTCATTAGCTTCAATTGCTCCCTGAATTATCGAGCACTATTCTATTCCATTTATTTATTTATTATTATTTTAATTTACTAGATAGGATTGTAAAATTTCATTAGCTTCAATTGCTCCCTGAATTATCGAGCACTATTCTATTCCATTTATTTATTTATTATTATTTTAATTTACTAGATAGGATTGTGCAATCACCTGTAGGTTTTCGGCAACCGTGCCATACTCTGGTAGGTCAAGGGACCTTTATAGTCGCAAGACTCCAGATCCTCGTACAAACTATTGATCGTGCAGGTGTAGGTGTGATTAATGGCCTTCCCCTCGCACAATTCCTGAAGAGCGGAGAGCATCGCGACAACGCACGACACGCTGGCGTGCAACGTGCTCAAACCGCCATTCGTCGACTCCTCGATCGAGTCCATCGCTCTGCCGGGAAATCGTTCACCTCATCCCCTCCTTCCTTTTATTACTTGCAAAATTAAAAACTGATTTTGTCCTTACAATCTCATCAGAGCCATGTCGCTCTGAATGTGGCTGGATTTGTCCTCCTCAACGAGCAAGGGGCCGGCAAAGTCCACCATTCGACTCGGGCTTCGTAAAAGTTCCTTCAAAGCTTTCAGAGGTTCTAAACGTTGCTGGGGCGGAGGATAGAGCAGCATTCTGTGGAACACTGATTCCAGCACAGGACGAAGGGGGCCCACGCATCCTACCAATCGGACCAACTCCGTCCCGATACTGTCGAGAGGAAAGAAAGAAAGAAAGAAAGGAGAGAAATCGAATTTCGAAAATCGATCATTGAAAATTAATGTACCTGTAAACAGTCTTGGCCTGGTGGCTGTCGAAACTCAAAGACGTTGCCAAGTATCCGGATCCTCTCCCGATCTCGTTCTCCTTCCCCTCCCTCGAGGTGAAGGTCTTGTCGACCCTAGGCGTGCCCAGGAAAGCTATCAACGCGGGGCAAAACTTTTGCCATAGAAAGGTGGTGAAATGTCCGTTCGTGTGTATTTTCTGCGGCAGGGACGAGATTAAAGTGTGAAGACACTCCAACAGGAACACAACCGTGTTCCCGTTCCTTCCGTTGCTGGGATAAGATTTTCTAAAGTTACGTTTTTTTTTTTTTTTTTTAAGGAAAGATTTATATTATTCTTTTTTTTTTTTTCCTCGATTCTTACTTTTGAGCCTCGTCCAACTTGCTACAGATATATTGAAGTATTGGTAGAGCTTCGTTGAAACAGGACACACCTCTTTCCCACAAGTTTTTATTCTTCTTCGCGTTCTCGTCCATCTCCTGGCATTCCTCGTCTGGTGAAAAAAATTCGCGAAAGTTTTCTTTTTTTCTCTCTCTTTTTAACTTTTAAGGGACGAAAACGATTCGAGTTAATCTGTTTTACGAAGAATTTGATTCGTGGTCACGCGAGCCTAAGATTTATCGATCAAACTTTCGTTCCCATGAATTCCGTTACGGTGACGATGATCACGGAAATTGCAGCACGGAATGATAACGAGGACGATGAAAGGAATTATCTACCTAGAAACAAGCAAAACGATCTCAACGTTTGACTGGTTGCAGCTTGAGCCGCGGTCCTCACAGCTTGATTCCCATTTTCGAAAGCCTCGCAGCAGGTAGTGAGAATGGCGATTATTAAACGACCGTTCATTGTCCAATAAGAAGAGCAGGCGACTTGTAACAGAACCTGAAAAAGATCGGAGAGAAAAGGTGAAACTCGAATTTAATTTCGAGGGAATTTTTCTTTTTTTTTTTTTTTAATTTCGAATTAAACGCTCACTTTCAGCATGTCCGTCTGAGTGTCGTCCGATTGTGATAACATGGAACTCATCGCGTGCAACATTTGTGCGGGTAGCCAGAGAGAATCGTCTTCTGGCTCGTACGGCGACTGGAATCTGTCGTCCCTTAACATTTTCTGAATTCAAAAAAAAAAAGAAAAAAACGAATCGTGTACAGATAATTCATCTGTGGACGAGCAATATATCTTTTTATTTTGAAAATTGATCGTTCGAGATCGGAGAGGAATAAACGAATAAGAGTATTGATTTTGGGGCATAGACACGTCAGAATCTTGGTTTACAACCGTCGTTGTCACAACCGTGTCGTCGATATCAATTCGTTTTTATCGCAACAGCGGATGTGACAATTTACATGTACGCGATACCAAAGTAGCGCAATATGGGTAAGGAAAGAAGAAAAAAAAAAAAAAGGGAAAAAGAATATTGGATGAAACGCTCACGTGTAATCCCGACAGGCCAAAAGCAACGAATTTGCTCCTCTTCGTCTCTAATGCTAGCTGAAAGGCGTGTAGACATTTTGCTCGCAGCTCGTGGGGTGGATCGCGTAACAACCCTTGCTGTTTGTCCAGGAAGTCTGCACAAACGTGTAAATTCGAGAAATAAAATATCTTTCGAATTACGAGTTACGTATTAAAAGTAAAAGTAAGTTTATTATTGTTTCTTAACAGAAAGAAGTAATTATAATTGATTCGAATTAATGGAAGTGGTGGGTGGTGTAATAAATTAATGGAGGAGCGTAACAATCCAAAGTGTTATTCGAAGCTTCGAACGAAAATGGGACAAGTGTGAAAGTTGGATGGAACAAAAAGCGTGGAATAAAGAATAAGGAATGTTTTGAATCGACTCACCGTACGCTTCCTGCGCTGATTTCCGCAAATTTTGTAATTTTGCATTGCTCGATTCTCGGACGATCTGCAGCAGGAGATCCTCCATGTCACGGTGGACTAACACGCGACTGATCGATAACGGGAGTGCACGCTTGGCTGTACGCGCGCATCCAGGGCCGTAGAAACTGTTTCGGAGTCAAATTTATTTCTCTCTTATTGAGGATTAATTTTGGCTATTCGAATTCTCAGTGTTTTTTAGCATGCAATAATAATTAAATGATCAAAATTCACAATTTTTTTTTTTTTTTTTGAAAAATAAATTACACTTGTACGCGTGAAATTGTTGGTACGATTATTGATATATTTTATAAATGAATGGTGTTTACATGCAACACTTACCATCGTCATTTTATAATCTTTTTAAAAAGTTGACATAAAATTTCATGTTTTCATATGTAACCTTTTTCACGAAAAAAATCAATCAAATTCAAATAGATTTTTCGATTGATCGAAAAGTGAATTTTCAAATCGCACGAATGATGGCGCGCGAATAGCTGCGATCACGTGACTGCTTCACTTGGCTTCCAAAGATGGCGGCGGAAAGTGACAAGAAGCATAAAAGTGTCGAAAAATTGTGCCGTAAACGAGTGACTTTCTACGAATTAGCTGTGGATCTCATAGGTACAAGCCTCCTCGCGAAAGAAGAAGGCTAATTGTGTGGTTTCCTGTCAGTGTTATCATAAAATCATCTCGTCTCCCGTGACAGGTTTGGCATTTGGCTTGTTTCATCATTGGCATGTGTCTACGCTATTCGAAAATGACCGGCATTTCTCGCATCTGTCCGAAATCGAGAGAGAAATGTCTTTTCGCACGGAAATGGTACGAGTTTCGAATGATATCGACAAATTGACGAAATATTCGTGGAGATAACCAGGTATGTTTTGTTTATTTTCTGTTCAGGGGATGTATTACTCTTATTACAAGACGATCGCGGAATCGAAAACATTTATGGACGGGCTGAGAAAAATTAGCCACGATAATATTTCGGAATATGGGAACGTTATCAACGCGGCTAGAAAATATAGCTTGCTACCAGAGGTATTGTATTGTATGAGGAATATTGATTACTTTGGTTAGGTTATTGGACAACAAAGATTGAAATGTATAAGATAGAATTGATCATTTACAGTTAGTGGCTGGATATCTTTATCATTGTGCCAAGAATTTGGGGCTTATATCTATAGAGCAGTGTTGGCAAGTGAGATTCATTTTCGTTAGATTTGTATACAGAGTCAAATTTTATTTGATATTTATTCAAGGATCTTTATAGATCTTACAGACTCTGTATGCATAAAGCAATGCAATGTGAGTATCACTTCTTATGGGAGAACTAGAAAAGAATCACTTTCAGATAGAAAGAGGAGAAGGTTTGTCACCGGTAACCAGTTGCGAGGGTCTAGGCGTCCCAGTTTATTTTTATTTGGAAATTGTTTGGACTTCCACTATACTTACAGTAGCTATACTATTCTATTATGCCACTTTCCTTGGCAATAGCCTGTACAGTGGATTCATAGCAGTGCTTCTCTTCTTTTATAACCATAATGAATGTACTCGTGTTCAATGGTCTCCACCATTGAGAGAAAGTTTCGCGTACCCTGTTTTACTATGTCAAATGTATACGTTGACTCTGATTCTTAGAGAGGGTACTCAACAGAACACGCAAAAAATACCAAAAGACTTACTTCAGGTGTGTTGAGACATATGATGATCAAATAGATTGGAATATTTTTACACAAAGTAACAAGAAATTTCATTCTTTCAGAAAATGGGCATGGCAACGATAGTTAGTTTATGTTGTTGGCAATTCTCGCATTTCGTATTCATCACGCAAATCGTTGCCCTCTTAATATTAAAATGGATGAAAATAATTTCCAACGATCTTTACAGATCTATCTCTAAAGTTCACGGTTGGTCCATCGTGATAGCAATGGGTATCACCGACAGTTTCCCTTTGCTTTTCTCTATGTACTTGTGTCTTTTGTTCGTTAGCAACGCTTTAAACGTAACAGAGAAATTGACCAAATTTATCGGCACAAAACTACAAACGATCCTCGAAATATTTTTCACCATCTTGTGTACAGTGTACTTAAAATCGATCTACGCCTTGTTATACGAAGACACGGCGCACGTGTTCAATTTACTTAAAACGAAACTGATCGGTTATAAAGATTTTCACACGATGCTGTACACGTGCTCCCCAGAATTCGATTTCCTTCAATACAGAAGCTACGAGGCGATCATAAAAACGTTACTTCTACCGTCTGCCATTCTCGCCGGAATGCTGGTGATCTATTTTTGGTACAGGAATTACAAAATCAAAGGGTATCCTAAATGCATAGAAGCGGATCTGGCGTACAACGGACTGCAGACCGGAGCCTTCATTATCATGGCGGTTTTTATCATGAGATTGAAACTGTTTATGAATCCTCATCTATGTATAATAGCCGGCACGATATGCGCGAACAGATATCTGGAGAAACTTGGTATAAAGAGAAAGATAACCAAGACTGCCATTATAGTTCTATTGATATCCGCGATATCTTACCACGGATTAGAAATACTGCAGGAAGAGCGAAGCGTTATGGGTAACTATATTATAGTAAAGAGAAAAAAAGAAAGGAAAAAATTCAGTATTAAATAAACTTTATGTTTATCGTTTGATCTTTTTCATCGTGGTAATCAAGGTGAATACAGCGACATCGAGCAAGAGGAACTATTCGAATGGATCAAGAAGAATACACCTGAACAGGCTGTGTTTGCCGGGAAGATGTCTTTGATGGCAAATTTAATGCTCTCCACGGGAAGGCCGATCGTCAATAACCCTTACTACGAGAGCAAAGAGATGAGGTGCATAAGCTTGCTATTCCCCGGATCGTAACGTCGTATAGATATCAATTTTGATATTTATTATCCTTCTGGTTTACGTTCCAGAGATCGGACTATGAAAGTTTACGAGGTCTTCAGCAGAAAAGACGTCACATCCGTATACGTCACGCTTAGGAATTTGCAAGTCGGATACGTCATTCTAGAGGCATCGATGTGCTTTGGCTACGCAAATTTGTAATGAAATATTTTAGTAAATTGGTGAAATTAATACATAATATTTTTTAAACGTTGCACACAGATTAGAATTTTGGGTTTCAGGCCATCGCAATGCCAAATGATCGACTTGTGGGATCTTGTAGACAACGGAGTGGCGAAGGCTGCTGGAAAACAACCCGTGTGCCCAATGCTGTTTCGAGGAAACGCTTACCCTTTCAAACGATCGTTCGTAAATAATCGTTACGTTGTTCTGCAGCTTGATTATTCCTACTGCGTGGAATTGAAACCGAACAATTCCCTTAATTACCAATCTTGAGCGGTAATTGTGATCGAATATGACAAATACCTCGCCGAAATTGCAGAGAATATTTTTTCCAAAAGAGAGGCAATTATGTATAATACTTATATATATATATATATTTTTTTTTTTAAGAACAATGACTCGTTGAGATGAGCCAAAGTAATTTTGTTAAAAAAAGTTAGAAGTAAAATGCGAATAAAAATGTTAACTACATTCCTGTAAAATCCATATCTTCGTTTTCCTGCGTTCCTGTGTCTTTCCGCATCTTGGCACGCTTCGTCGAGAAGCAATACGATTCAACTTCAAAGTCTTGCCTTTACGTAAGACGAAATGTTTTTGCTTTATATAACTTGGCACGAATAAAGGAGCCGCAACAAGAACACTGCGTCTCGTAGAATGATAATAGTATCTATATTACGGTAAAATTTCATTTCCTTTTTTCTTTTTTTTTTTTTTTTTCTTTTCATGAAAGTTGATCGAATTTCACGAGACAGTTATTAGCGCGAGAAACGACGAGGAGCGTCACGGGATCGCAAGAAGAATCGAACCACGCCGCGAAGATAGCTCCGTTATAGTACAACACACGGCACTGCACCTTCACTTCGCCGTGTAACAGATAGTATAGTCTTGCCTTCGCTATACTACGTTGTGCTGCTGACCCAAATGAATCCAATGGCCAGTCAGTCCTGGTCCGGGCTTCTTCGCGGCAATATTGCTCGCTCGATCACAGCTGGCATCGTGTAAAACGCTTTCGTCCTTTCGTTACAGGTTAAACGACACTTGCAAAAAATACCAGTTTACCAGCAATACATGTGCATTCGGCAATCGGTCGTGGATTTCGTGGTAGAAATTCGCGATTTAATCGAAATACCTCGGTGCCCATATTGCAGCGTGGTCCCGGTGATCCAGTGAAATTATAAGGGTACCCTAAACAGTGAAAGTTGCGGACCAATTAATTATATACCAAAGACGGTGATTGTCCTGACCGGTTTCTTTTTTTCATGAGAAATGGTCCGCAGCGTTTGGACTATGCGTGTCGCTAAAAATCGATAATCGGTGTACCGATTAATTTATATTTTGGCGGGAATTTTTTTCTCATTGTTACCTTTTTCTCTTTTTATTTTTCTTTCTTTCTTTTTTTTTTTTTTTTTTTTCTTTCTTTCTTTTTTTTTTTCTTTCTTTCTTTTTTTTTTTCTTTCTTTCTTTTTTTTTTTCTTTCTTTCTTTTTTTTTTTCTTTCTTTCTTTTTTTTTTTTTTTCTTCTCCCTTTTTTCCCTTTAAATTGGATACTCGAGAATTTTTGTTCTAGTGTTAAGTTTTATCGAAAAGTGTAACGGGGAAGTATCGTTTCCTGGATTAGAAGTGATCATCAATCTGTAAACACGTTGTGAAATCTTTGATATAATCGTGACGCGGTAGCTGGACCAGAACAGAGGAGGCTGAGGATGCCAGAGGCGGAAGCAAAAACGTAGAAATCGCGTCGCACCGGCTACGAGGATCCGATTGATCGAGATCACGCGCATCCGCAGGCTCTGAATAGCGATGCGGTTGCATTCCACGGCAACGATAGTTCCGCATAATCATTGACACTCTGCAGTGAGTATCCAATCATTTTCCCCTTCTTTTCTTTTCGTTTCTTAAATCCTAATTGTTATTCCTTTCTTTCTTCTTCTTTTTTTTTTTTTTTTTTGATTATTATATCGCCAACGACGGAAACGATTTTGTGGGATATCAAGGACATCTCCGCCTCGCGTCCTTGCGTCAGCTTATGAACGGTGCATTAATTCGCTCAATGAGCATAAC